AGTTTTTTCTTCCCGATTTATAAAAAATCCTTACGTGGTAGAAAAAAAAATGAACATTATTTTCGAAATCTGCGTAACTGAATTATGGAAATATTTTTCTTAAAAGCCAAACAACTTTTACGAAAATTAAATTCGTAGGCCTGTGTAAATTAACTATAACATCCTTCCAAAATATGACTGAAAACAAAAAATATTTCCTGTGTTATTTATTGACGGAACATGAGAGAATGTGGATGGCCCTCTACTGCAACGAATAGGAAACTAGATCTGTGACAGTAGACGTCTTTGTGGCAGTTTTAACGGACTGTTTGTTTGTAGTTAAGCGCATAGCTACATAAAGGGCTATCTGTGCTCTGCCCACCATGGGTATCGAAACCCGGTTTCTAGAGTTGTAAGTCCGCATACGTACCGCTGTGCCACTGGGGGCTACAGTTTCTGTCATACCCATAAGAAATTCATCTGTTAGCTTTATTTTTTTTAGATTTTTTTGTTCATGTGAATATAAATACCTTAATTAATACTCTTATTTTTTAAAACAGTGTTCTTTTATTGGTTATACTACATCGAATAGAGTACGTCACCTGACTTCAATAATTCATTAAAACTATAAGCTTAACATTATATTAACATTAAGTTTTCATTGCTTGCCAAATAGAAGAATTAAATTACTGAATATGAATTTTCCACTAGGTGGCGCTAGAATAAAAACTGACACATTTCAGTTTCGAAATATTTCATAAAGTAGATATATTCTTGTAAACACAAAGAAGTTGCCATTAAGGTAATTTCGTTACACTAAATTTTATCAAACAATTTTAGGTGACGCAAAAATAATTTTAAAACATATTCGTAATCATATGTACGTACAACAGCGCAAAGTTTCCCGCACGCAGAAGCGGATGAACCAAATATCCAACTTCAAAGAACATCCTGCTTCAGGTACAAGGAAAAAAAGTAGTTTTATTTCCTGTTTTTCCTAATTTATGTAAATAAATATAAAACTTAGTTTTAAACATATTAAACAATTTACTTTCTAAATCTGATATCTCTTCTTTTGGAAATTTGGTCATAATGCGACTTTGCTCCCTGAGGACATTGTGTGTGTTCAATGACCGATACTATGATAGCTATCTTCCATTGAAGTTGGATATTTGGTTGAAATTTCGCGTGTGTTCAATGGCTGATACTATGATAGCTATCTTTGATTGAAGTTGGATATTTGGTTGAAATTTCGCGTGTGTTCAATGGCTGATACTATGATAGCTATCTTTGATTGAAGTTGGATATTTGGTTTAAATTTCGCGCGTGTTCAATGGCCGATACTATGATAGCTATCTTTGATTGAAGTTGGATATTTGGTTTAAATTTCGCGCGTGTTCAAT